AGCCCAAGCACCTTTCAACGTATAATGGAGGCTATTTTGGGTGGCTTCAACCTTTCTAGTCTCATCCTCTATCTTGACGATGTTTTGGTGTATTCTTCCTCGTTTGAAGACCACATACATCGATTGGAGACTGTCCTAGAACGTCTGATTCAGCATAGCTTGAAGTTGAATGGTGGAAAGCGCCAGTTCTTTCAGGGTTCTGTTCGCCACTTGGGGCATGTTGTCAAGGCAGGGGGTGTCTCTGTGGATCCTGATAAGGTGGCACGCATCAAGCAGTGGCCAGTTCCCACCAACATTGACCAACTCCGCTCCTTTTTGGGATTGGCGTCATATTATCGGAGATATGTTAAAGGGTTCTCAGAGGTTGCCGCCCCCCTTCATTCTCTTGTAGGTAAGGCAGGGGCAAAAGCAGGGAAGGCACCGCCCCTCTTTGTCTGGTCACCTGAAGCAGACCAGGCTTTCTCTGCCCTGAAGACTGCATTAAGTGAGGCACCGGTTCTGGCCTTTCCACGCTTCGACAAGGACTTTGTTCTTGAGGTGGATGCCTCACTCCTTGGCTTGGGGGCTTGTCTATCTCAGTATAGTGACGATGGTGGTTTGCACCCCGTGGCCTATGCCAGCCGGGGCCTACGTGGAGCCGAGAAGAACTACCCTAGTATGTCAAGTTTCAAGCTGGAGCTGCTTGCCCTCAAGTGGGCGGTCTCTGAAAAGTTCAGAGATTACCTTCTTGGGCGCCACACTGTGGTGTGGACGGATAACAACCCATTAGCTCACTCGCTCACAGCTAAGCTTGGAGCCACCGAGCAACGCTGGGTGGCCCAGCTGGCACCTTTCAACCTGGACATCCGTTATCGATCTGGCCGTTCAAACAAGTGTGCGGATGCATTGAGTCGTAACCCAGCAAATGAAGAGCTTGGTGCAGTCACAATAGAAGCAGTCCTTCAAAGTACTGCACTGCCACACGGGGTCTTCAGCAGTCCATCAACTGCTAGACAGGAGGATTGCAACGAACCACTTGTTGATGGCAGAGCTCCTTTGCCTTCTTTCACTCTTGAAGAGCTATCCTCCATGCAGAGAGAAGATCCTGCACTAAGTGAGGTTTGGCAGTTGTAGGAGGGTCACTGGCAACCTGGTCAGGAACATCATTTCCCTCCCAAGATTAAGAAAGCCATAGCCGGTTGGGTGAGAGAATGGCACAGACTGGTTGAAAAGGATGGTGTGCTTTATCGGGCCCTTGAAGATCCTGGTCTTGGTCAATTTGTTCAAGTGCTTGTTACAGAGAAGCTAAGGACAGAACTACTCTGTACTGCTCATGACCAGTGGGGACACCAGGGCACGGGCAGAACATTGGCACTATTGAAGCAGCGTTGTTTCTGGCCTGGCATGAGCCGGCAGGTTCGTGAGTATATTCGTCACTGCTTTGCTTGTACTGTGGCTAAGACCCCAAGTCCTGTTGTACGTGCCCCTATGAAACACATATTGGCGTTCCGGCCCTTAGAGTGCTTGGCCATAGATTTTCTGAAATTGGACCAGGGTCTAGGGAATGTGGAAGACGTCCTAGTCATGACGGACGTGTTCACAAAATTCGCAATGGCCGTGCCCTGTAGAGACCAAACCGCTACTCAGATAGCGCAAGCTATTCAAAATCACTGGTTTGTTCATTATGGTAGCCCATCAAGAATCCACTCTGACCAGAGCTGCAATTTCGAGAGCAAATGGATTAAGGAGTTCTGTGACCTCTATCAGGTTACCAAAACTAGAACCAGCCCCTACAACCTGCAAGGAAATGGTCAAACCGAGCGATTCAACAGAACGCTTTGCGGTTTGATAAAGTCAATTGATTACCGTGACAGACACCGATGGCCCAAGTTGCTCCCACATCTTGTGTTTGTGTACAACTCCACTCCCCATAGTGTTACGGGGTGTCCCCCCTACACACTAATGTTTGGTCGCACACCAAAACTGCCACTAGACCACCTTCTTGGTGACACCCGTCCCTCTTGGGGAGAGAATGCAGTTGAACGACAAGCCAAACTCCTGAAACGTGCCAGTACACTTGCCAAGGAGCGAATGATGAAGGCCGCTGCATCTAACAAGCGACGGTATGACAAGTACGCAAGGGCATGTCCCTTGCCAGTTGGAAGCAGGGTGCTTGTCCAACAGACAGGGTTCACAGAAAGGCATAAATTGGCTAACCATTTTGGACACCAGCAGTACGTGGTTGTAGAAAGCTGCCCCAAGAAAGGATTGTATGCGCTTCGTCCAGCGTTGGGTGGACCAGAGAAGTGGCTCAATCGACGTAAATTGATTCTTGACCCAAGGGGACCATTAGACTTGCCCGAGGGATCCTTCCAAAATCCTTCGTCACAAAGCTTGAATTCTCCTGTTTCAGATGAGGAGCCAGGTACAGAGAGCTCGGATGGGGAATACGTCCTCAAAGCGCCAACACAGGCCCCAATACAGCCAGGGATAAATATTGCTCCAGAGGAGACAGGCAAGCAGCCACTCTCCCCTGAGGTGCAGCCACGCCGCTCAGAACGATTGAAATTGAAACGCGAGGGATTGTCAACAAGAGGGCTGTTGAGCCGGGGTGATCATAATGCGTAAGTAGTAGCTCGCCCTTTGTGGAGTGAGACAAGGCCTTGGCTACTATTGGTTGCAGGCCACTCCAGTCGGCTTCCTACCCTAAATAGTATCTGAAGTTTTCCTTTAATTTGCCCTTTAAGTTGGACACTGATTTGTTTGAGCTAATTCTTGATTTCATAAATTAAGGTAGTGTTATCTTATAGAAAAAAAGAACAAAGAAGAGAAAAGTAGAATAGGTCCTTTTTGACAAAGTTAGTTGACTGGGGAAACTGGCACGTGCGAATAGCTTGTGAGCCTAAGGGGGTTGCTCGCCAGGAGTGAGCTTAGGCCTCTGCCACCCTTGGTCGCAGACTGTTTGCGCTGCCTACTCTCCCTGTCATATATCCTTTCTTATTTTTTTAGTTTCTTGTATAAGAAGCATTTTGTTTTCTTTCATTTAAGCTTACGATTTAGTGATTGAGAAAATCCAGATTAATATGTCAGGTCAAATCTGTTTTCTCTTTGGACATTCGTTCCCGGCTAGGCTTGAGAAATTAGCTCAGGACAGGTCAGTGTCCGTTGAGCACCTTGTTCGCCTTCCATTTGGAATGCGCCTCAGGGCCAGGGGTTACCCGGGGTTGACGTTTTCGAGGGTGCTCGCTGATCCAAATCGCTACTTGCAGTGTTTGGCCAGTGAACCGATTCATACCCTTTGCATAGACTTGGGCACAAATGATCTTTGTAATGAGAGGAACAGTCCAAGGGTTGTGGTGCAGCGCGCACTTGCACTTTTGAACCAACTTGACCGCATGGGCATCAGGCCCCGCAGAATAATATATTTTTCAGTTATTCAACGGTCTTCCATTAGCAGGCCAGGGCAGGTCTCTGTTACAACGTTCAACCATCGTGTGAGACGTTACAACTCACACCTGAGTCAGGGATTGAGGGCAGGACAGCCCAATGTGGGTATGTACATGCAGAGGTGTATTAATCACCCTAGACACTTGGCTGATGGTTGCCATCTTACCCAACGGGCAATGAGGAAATATTGTACCGGAATCAAGGAAGTGCTGCTAAGACCTGACCATTATTTGTTGACTCAGAATTCATAGCCTCAAGTGGAAGAACAAGTGTTTTCTCTTCTGGAAATTTTTTCAAGGGAAAGGAACATTTAAGTTTAAGTCGTAATTGAGGATATCCCTACTATTTTCGTGAACTTGTAAGATGGTCATTTAAGATGTTGGATTTTAGGTAACTGCTTGTTGCTTCTTAGAGTAAAGCAAAGAGCTGAATTCTCCTGTGCAAGTAAAGTATTGCAAAACTTGTTATACAGTATTATTGGGAAGAATTCTGCCGTGCAAGAAAAAAAGTGTTGTAAACTTGTTATATTGACGAGTATTCAAGTGTTTCTTAACGAAAAAAAAAGTGATTTCCTGTGATCTTTAGAAATCTGTGTTGATCTATGGGCACCATTCGGGGCGAAGGTGCTTCAAGCAGGGAAGCTGTAAGGGGACGGACTTTTTCAGTGCACTCTTTTGTGTCTGTGTAGTTAATTACAAGGGGAGCATACTTGTACACGTCTATTATTTACCATTTTGTTACCCTTGGCAACATACATTATTCATGATGTCAACGTCATAACAAGCAAATCACCTTATTCCTTACCGCATTTTGATCGATTAGTTATTATGAGAATTTATTGCTGTGAAGCATTAATCGAGTCTTTGTACACGTAGTTAGTGGTATTACGTGGAGTCGATCCGCCTCCTGTGAGAATCTTTCAAGTATAGATAAAACGCGGCATAGTTGAGAGAAAGTGGCTTCTCGAAGTTAGATGTGAAGGTTGGATGAGCAAAGAT